TAGAGACAAAGATAGAGACAAAGATAGAAAGAGAAAGAGAAAGAAGGAAACAGGAAGGAAGGAAGAAAGGAAAGAAGGAAGGAATGGAGGGGAGAGAGAAAGAAGGAAAGAGAAAATATAAAAAAAGTGGGAGAGAGATGAAAGAAAGAAAGAAAGAAAGAAAGAAAGAAAGAAAGAAAGAAAGAAAGGAGAGAGACAAAAAAAGGAAAGAAAGAAAGTATTGAGCCCAAAATGTTGGTTGCTAAGCAAGAGAGTTGTTAAGTGAGTTTCACCACATTTTCCAAGTTGGCCACGCCCACCCAGTCACATGACTGCCGAGCCACTCCCACAAAAGAGGCCACACCTACAGAATAGGTTCTAAAAATTTTGAAACCCACCACTTAACTGATTATAGATAGTTCTTCAGTTGTGACTGTAATGGGGCCTGGTCATTATGGTCTCAAGAAAAATTACAGAATTACAGAAAAACACTGTTGGAAGGGACCTTGGAGGTTTTCTGGTCCAACCTCCTGTTCAAGGAGGAGAATCTATATCATTCTGGACAAATGGCTGTCTAATCTCTTCTTAAAACCTCTACTGATTAATTGTTCTCACTGAAAGGAAATTCTTGATTGAATCTCTCTTTATTAAGCTTCTATCCATTACATCTTGTCCTGCCCTCATGTGCTTTGGAGAATAGCTTGATCTCCTCTGTGAGAATCCCTCAGATATTGGGAAATTGCTATCATGTTACCTCTAGTACTTCTCTTCATTAGACTAGGCATACCTAATTCCCGCAACCATATTCATTGTATAATTTGGCCTCCAGTTCGCTAAACATCTTTGTTACTCTTCTCTACACATTTTCTAGAGTCTCAACATCTTTTTGATATTATGGTGACCAAAACTGGATGCAGTATTTCAACTGTGGTCTTATCAAGGCAGTATATAGCAATACTAACACTTCACATGATCTTGATGCAACCTAAAACTGCAGTGACTTTTTGGCAGCTGCAGCACACTGCTAGCTCATACTCAACTTGAGCTAGGTACCACCTATTCTATACCTGTGCATTTTGTTGTGATGGTCAGTAAACAAGACACCTATGTGATTGCCCCACCCTACTCTCCCTGAGGTGATTGTTGAACAGAGCAAAGTATGCCTCGGGTGTGGGAGGCCTAGTAGCTTAGTAAACAGTTTAAATTCTTACTGTGGTTTAAACATAATATTGATGGTATATTTTCTACATTACTGGATAAGTATCTCAGATCATTTAGTTCAAGGTGGACCCCATTGCAAAAGCAGGATTATAAATTCTATATTTTATTTGAAATGTCAATCTCTTGTTCAAGTATAATTCTAGAAATATGTTGAACATAAAGTATTCAGTAGGACTGGGTTGTACTATAAATTCAAAGAAAGAAAGGTGCTTCAGAGTTTGTGTTGGTACATTCATAGCACTGCTAGCATATAAATATCAGTGCTGCTCCAGCTATTCTTGCACTTTGGTACATTTGTTCTGTAGAAAATTCTTATTTTTTCTTCTTATTCTTGTCACAGAGAATATAGTTTATATATAGTTCTGGTGAGATTATCATGGTAAGGTTATTATAGTAAGGTGATTATGGAAACAGAAAAGTTCTGGATTGCATTTGTTTTCTTTACTTCAAACCTAATATTTTGTGTGTTTTGTTTGCAGCGTTCATACTTCCGAACCTTTCTAATGCATGGATTCCACTTTCTAGTCAGGTTCCTTTGTGTTAAGGATATTAGAGACACGCAGTGTGGTTTTAAACTCTTGACCCGGGAGGCTGCTTCTCGGACATTTTCAGCTCTTCATATAGAACGTTGGTTGGTATATTTCTTTCAGTTAATTGAAAACTGGTAACATGTGCAAAATTATGATGCATTATCCAGTATGTACATATATATGCTAAATAATTTTATGGCTAGAATGTAAGAGCTTTCAGGCATTGCAAAGACTTTTGTATATTCACTGGGTCTTCTTGTTTTCAATTTATGAAGATAGTTCATGCTTTTATCCAAAATTAGAATAATTACTTTTAGTCTCTAGGACAGGCCAATATAATGCATTTAAGGGCCACACTGATAAATTAAAAATAATACTGGGCTGCAGTGGGTAGCTGCTAGGTCTTTCTATGGTAGCAGTCAGTGAGGTTTGGAGGTGCTAAACCGCATGTCTTTGAGAGGGGAGATGACTGCAAAGAGCTAGGCAACAAGAGCTCTTTTCTTGTGCTTAGCAGCAGTAGATTTGTAGACTTTTCCAAAACTGCCCCAGCTCTTATGTTATATAGGCCTGCTCATTTAGATAAGCAAAAGAATGCATACCTGTCCCAGTGTTCAAATCTACTTTTTTTTAAAAAAAAATACTATTTATTTAATCAGCAGGAAAAAAAACAATAGAAAAAGAGTGCCCCTTTTCAAAAAAAAATTAAATACACATTTACACTGGAGGAAATAGATGAACTTTTTGCTAATCTGTTAGCCAAAGTATGAAGGAAACAACAACACTGTCGTAATGGGAGACTTTAACTGACATCAGCTGGGAAACAAAATCTGCAGTGAGTGGGAGATCAAACAAGTTTCTTAGTGCCTAGCTGACATCTTTGTCACCCAAAAACTGGAGGTGGGAACAAGAGGGTCAGCTACACTGGACATTATCCTAACTAATATGGATCAAATGGCTAAGAGAGTACTCTAAAGCACTTGAGGACAAGACAAGAAACAATGGGGGGAAGCTTGTTAAAGAGAGATCCAAACTAGAACTAAAGAGAAATTTCCTGACAATGAGAACAATCAATGAAACAGCTCTCCTCCTAGGCTTGTAGGTCCATCACTAGAGGTTTCCAAGAAAATTGGACATCCATGTTTCCAGGAGAGTATAAGATCTCTTGCCTTGGGCAGGGGTTGGATTAGAAAATCTCCAAGGTCCTTTCCAGTACTATGATTCTATAGGATGTAAATTCATGTATGGATGGAATGGCCATAAGAGTGGTTTTCATATAGCTGTTTGTGAGACTTTGGTAGTGAAATTGGATCCTGGGGGCCAAATGTGACTATACCAATCTCCTTGCCTTCCCACTTGATCTGCTTGAAGCCCTAGCTGAATTGACAATGCAGTCACCCAAACAAATGATACACTTTAATCTGTCTTTCATGGATACAGACAGTTGGGACTTCATGACAACCATAGACTTGACTCAAGTTATTAAATACTTGACTCCTATCAATGGTTATATATTAGACTAATGCGTCTAGCTGGCTTTCAGAGGTAACCAAAATTATTCCTGTGGCTCTGATGCATGGTTTGACTTTGACCCTGATTGCCCTTTGGGGAGAGAATGGTCACTTTCTTATGAGATTTTTTGGAATTCTTTCCATTTTTTTACATGTAATACTGCACCATGTACCATATTAGCTGATGCGAAAAATGGACAAACACTTTTTCTAGGTTAAGAAAATGTGTAATACTTCTTTTTTTTCTCTATGCTCTATGAGCATGCAAGCTGCAAAAATGACACTGGTGGTAGTCAAGTCTTTGACAAAACTCTATAGATTGATGCTGATTTCAGCCATGTCACAGAGATGGCGGTTGAAGATTCGCTCAAAAAATTCATTGTGTGTGACAAGAAGGGGATTGGTCGGTAGTTGGAGAAGTCTGATTGATTGCCTTTGTTCTTGAAGAGAGAAACTGTAACACTTATTGCCCAAATAGTAGGTGCATGACTAGAATGCATAAAGACATTGAAGAAGCTTGTCAACTATTCAGTTGCTGTGCCATGAAGTTCTTTCAACTTCCAGATATCTGACTAGTAAATTGAGCTAGATACTTTTGAATTCTTCATGACATTGATAGGTAGTCCAATTTTTCTCATTATTATGTAGGAGCCCTGCCATTTAGCCAATAGTTTGCTTTCTTTACTAGGTGATAATAATAACACTTGGTCTTCTTCATTGAACTGCTGTACCCTTATCATACCTCTTCTGTTCTTCCCTGGCTCTTCCTAAATGTTCTTGGGCAATATGTCCTACTGCCCTTGATTTGTTTCTCCGGGTTAATATGCATTCTATTAAACTGTTGGGGGTTTCTAAATGTTCACACAATCCTTCCTTAAGGATTAACTTAACGCCCAACCCACCTTGTAGTTGCCTCCCAATTTCTAAATCCAGTGGATACCTTTAGGATTTGCCTGTGGGCCAAATACTATACTAAAAATGGCAGGTAGGTATCCTAACTTTTTGGTTTTGTTGACCTGCCTATTTCCAAAGCATAGCATTCAGGGACTGATGGATTGTTTTAGTTATGCCATCTGCCTAGGAAAAATAAGGACTGATACACACTCCTGTTATCCCTAAATCATTCCTAAAGATATTTAAGTAGGGCTGGGTGAAAATTAAATGCTTGATTCATGAGGATCTCCTTTAGTATGCCTGTCATACAGATTTTGACCAGTTTCTTTGTTGTTTATATTTATTAATGGAACATTTATTAATGGAACTGTTTTTAAATAACAAGTTGCATAGTCACAAACAGTTAGGATATACAGTATTCCTTTACTGGATTGGAGCAGAGGGCCCACAATATCCATGTCTATTTTAAAAAAAGAAATGGGAATTAAGGACACACTGTCCAATGGAAACTTTATCTTGTTTTCCTTTTGGTTTCATTAATTGACAAACAGGCAGGGTCTGGAGTGATGAATCACATCTTTATTTGGCCAGTTAAATATCTAATATAGATTGTCCTCACTTTATAACCACAATTGAGCCTGGAATTTTGATTGTAGATTGGGGTGGTCCTTGAGTAGGTCATGTGACTTACAACCATTTTTATGATAATTGAAAAATGAATCACTGTGATAAGTGAATCATAAATCTTGTTAAGCAAATCCAGCATATCCAAAAAAATGCTGCAAATCACGGTCACATGACTGCAGGATGCTGCAATGGTTGCTAAATACCTGAAATGCTGTCATGTGATAGGAGGGAGGGGGCACCGACAACAATGACACAATGTTTTATGCAGGTTTGAAATACATAAAGCATCCTTTCTGAGGCCATTGTAACTTTCAATTATTGTTAAGCAACTGTTAAAGTAGGATTACTTGCATTCTGAATGTTATACAATCTCTACTTGTATGTCCAGACTCTAGATTTTCATGGGATAGTTGTAATATAATTTTGCAATAATTTTGGAGAATTACTACTTGTAACTTTGTATATTGACAGGGCCATATTTGAAACAGCAAAACTTATTTTTCTTGTAATCTGGGTGTATTTTCTATTTTTCTCCTGTGCTGCCCCCTACCAATAAGGTTTTAAGATGGGAAACCTTCTTTTATAAGCCCTAAATCACTCTTATTTAGGAGCGTCTGTGCCTCTCGCTTTATCAGCCTTTGCTAAGACTAGGACAGCGATGGCGAACCTTTTTTGGCTCGCGTGCCATGTGGGGGGAGTGCAAGGGGGGTCGTGCATGGGCATGCCACACCAATAATGCAACACGCGATCCCCCCCAGTGCACATGCGCGCATGAGAGGCGTAACTTCCCATTTTTTCCATCCTTTTTTTGCCCTCCCCAGGCTCTAGAGGCTTTATAGGAGCCTGGGGAGGCCGAAACCTGCCTCCCCACCCCCCAGAGGCCTTCCGGGGGCTTCAGGGACCTTCAAGAGGCTTCCCTGAAGCCTCCAGAGAGCAAAAAATGACCCTACGAGCAAACAGGAAGTCACTTCTGTCAGTTCCCAAACTTCCAGTTTGCCAGTAGGGCTGTTTTTTTGCGCTCCGGAGGCTTCAGGGAAGCTCCTGAAGCCTCCGGAGGGCCTCAGGGGGGAGGCCTTTTTTTGCCTTCTCCAGGCTCCTATAAAGCCTCTGGAGCCTGGGGAGGGCAAAAATGGCTTTTGAAAAGGCTGAATTCAGCTGGCCTTCGCGTGCCCTGACAAATGGCTCCGTGTGCCACAGGTGGCACGCATGCCATAGATTCGCCATCCCGGGACTAGGACATCCCAATTCCACTATTAAAGTGGGAAGGATCCTAGGTTCCTTCCCCTCCTGCTTATTCTCTTTCTTTGCTTCTGCCATAGACTGGGCTCTTATGGTTACTACTACTACTTTCGCCTCCTTCCTAAAGCCCTTTGTTGGAATCAAACCTTCATCAGTTGGAAAACCTATTCCAATCATTAGATTACATAATAATTTAGGGATTGCACCTGTCACCATTATGTGTTCATTTCTCTATATTTTGACTGTAACAAATGGGACCAACTCAAGTTTGCACAAACATACTTGTGAGTTTTTCCCCATATATACACTCAGTCCTCGACTTACAACAATTCATTTAGTGACTGTTCAGTTACATCACTGAAAAAAGTGACATGACTGTTTTTCACACGACCATTGCATGGTCACATTATCAGAATTCAGATGCTTGGCTGCTGACTCATTTATGACGGTTGCAGTGTCCCGATCACATTTTGTAACCTTCTGACAAAGCAAAGCCAGATTTGCTTAACAACCAAGTCACTAATTTACCAACTGCAGTGATTCAATTAACAGCTGTGGCAAGACAAATTGTAAATGAGACAAAATTCATTTAATAAATATTTCACTTAGCAACATAAATTTTGGACTCAATTGTAGTCTTACGTTGAGGGCTACTGCCTGTTAATTTTTTATTTTTTATTAGGACAAACCTTTATTTCAGAAAGCCATCCTTTAGGATTTACCGTATTTTTTCAAAAATTCACTTTTGTCTTTTATTTTGGTTATTTAACTTTCATGATGCAAATGGTATCACTTAATAAATTCTTATACATTCATATCAAAATTGAATTGTCTTTTTAAAATAAATTTATATACATTGTTTGAGTTTAGGCTTTTTTAAAAATAAAAATAGGCAATTTGTAAAGTTTTCCTTCGTTTTGCTCTTAAATTTTCTTTTGTAAAGCAAAGTTATTTTTAAAAATTACATTTTTTATGCTTATGGGTCTTTTTCATATGTGTTCCTTTTTTAGGTTGTTTTTTTTCTTTATTCTCAGCAAAATATGTTCATTGTAGACATAAATGTAGCTCCTAAACTGCCCCAGTATAAGGGAGGTACATAGTATTGGTATATGATTACATTTTTCTTTAACATAGTAATCAGTTACTTCCCTAGCTGGAAGTGTGCTATAATAAGTCCTTAAAAATTTTCCTGTTAAACTGGGTGCCCTTTCAAATGTAGCAAAATAAGCTTTTATATTTTCTTCCATGGTTAATTTAGGATGTTGATATCTTCTTCTCTGTCTCCCTCTAGATCTGTTGTTCTTCCTTTTTTATTAAACCTTTCTTCTTGCTGTTGCCTCCACTTTTCAGTTATGATATTGACCTGAGTATCTCGGCCTAGCCCTTTTTCTGGCTGTTGTCTTCTTTTTCTACAGGCTTAGTTAGGATGGACACTTGCCTTTATCAGAGTAGTAGCCTCCTCTGTGTTCAAAGGAGAAGCAGTCCCTCTATGTTTTCCATCTTTTTTTGTTTAGTGTAGGCTCTACTGAAGATTGCATATTTGAGCTCCTTCACTACCAAGGAGATGCCCTTCCTACATGTGAGCTACTTATAATGCCTTCATAAATATTCACAGTAAGCTGAATTCATCCTGAGTGGTGACCATGGAGTTTTTAGGCACAAACAAGTGGCCCAAGAAAACAAATTGTTTGTATTCACTGACCAACGGTAGCATAACTAGCATGGTGTAACCTATTAGGAAGGGACAATTAGAAGTTTATCTAAAATATCCCAGCATTATACAATAATTAAAATGCCTTTTCTTTTGTCATCTCTTTGAAAAGTAGTAGACCAAAAATATATCAGTTCTGATTCCGCTTTTCTCAGGGCTGCTCAGCAAACTGCCACTGCTTTGCTGGGACCCAGTGTACTCTGTAGTTGCTTACATGTTCAACTCTATCTTGAAACTTCAGAATGATTTAGTTGTTTTAAGTGAGCAGGATTTGGCCATTTCCCAGGAACATCCTTCAGATGTAGTTTTAAAAGCTTGGCTTCTGGGAAGGTGTGGTGAACTCTGTGAAAGGTGACTCTGCAAAAGCAGAGCCAGTAAGTGCAACAAAGAACAAGGAAGTGGTGAGTAGAACTCTCTGGATAAGGAAATGACCAGAGATCACCTGCATGTGCTCCCGACAACTGCTTTTTGTGGGGAGACCACACAATAGCAGTTTTCTGCGAGTTTGAGTGCTGGGAGATGATGAGATTAGCATTCTTGCTTGCAACAGCAGTGGAGATTTATAAAAGACATTAAGTTTGCAAACGTGACTTCCTACTCACTTTTTGAAATTGTTTATTAACTACTTCTAAACTATTAGTTTTGGACCAACACGTCTAAAAACACTGGGTGAGTCTGCCTTCAATCCTGAATGAAAGAAAATTTTAATCATAAGTTTTAAGAATTTAAGAGTCATAAATAATCAGCAAAAATAAAATTTTGGTCTTAGAAAATTTAAAACACACTAAGGATCCAGATAAATTTGGTATATTGAAACATTTACAATAAAATTTTGGATTTAATATATAAAAACAGCTTTTTTGGCGGGGGGGTGTCTTTATTTTTACAAGGCAAAACAAGCAATTTCATGATTTCAGAAACTGGACACTAGGGGAGATTAAAGTTTTTAGATTAAAAAAAGGTTAAGATACTGCCACTCCTGAGAAACATGAGAAACATATATCACAATTATTTTTATTTTATGATAGAAAAATTAAAATTGGCAACAATATTGCCATATGCTATGGAAATTCATTAGAAGAATCTTGAAAATATTTATTCTGTTCTTCTTTTAGGGCTTTTGATGTGGAACTTCTTTACATAGCTCAAAGCTTTAAAATCCCAATATCAGAGATTGCTGTCAATTGGACAGAAATTGAAGGTCAGTTGAAAATTTTACATTTTGTATCATTTTAGATCAGTTCTAGAGATCAGGTGAGTTCTACGAGTTCAGTGGTCTTAAAATATTCCCTATGATAATATAGAAATGTTAAATTATTGTTCTACTAGTCTTTCTAATACAGGTAATCCTCAACTTACAACCAGAATTGAGCCCACACTTTCTGTTCCTGAGTGAGACATTTATTGAGTTTTGCCCCATGTTATAACCTTTCTTGCCACAGTTGTTAAGTGAATCATTGGAATTGTTAAATTAGTAATATGGTTGTCAAGTGAATCTGGCTTTCCCATTGACTTGGCTTGTCAGAAGGTTGCAAAAGGTGATCACATAATTGTGGGATACTGCAACGGTGATAAATATGAGTCAGTTGCTAAGTGTCCAAATTTTGATTATGTAACCATTGGGATATTGGAATGGTGATAAGTGTGAAACACAGTTTTAAGGTTTCTTTTTCTAAATGAACTTGTAAATCAAGGACAACCTGTATAGTTATTAAGAAAATTAAGCTGTTTCCTCCACACTGGGTCTTTTGCATGGTGCTCCTTAGTCTCCTAATATGCTTTATCCCTCACTGTCAATATATTATGAACTATTTATTTTTCAGTAGATTTCTATCATATTTTCCCTAGTAGTTAATAAAAATTATGGTGTGATGGGTGATAAGAGGATTCCTATTGGGTGATGATTCTCAGAGAAACCAATTCCAAAATAATTTGAAATGATAAACTGTATTTCACAAACATTTAGCCTCTTATTAAAGGTTGTAAATTTTTTTAAAGTCATTTATTAAGATTTATAGGCCGCCCTTTTCCCTGAGGGGACTCAGGGCGGCTTACAAT